GCTTCAGATGTTTCTTATTATTCGACGAATATTGAAAATAAGTGCGATAATCAAAATCAGCATACTGAGTTCAATCGAACGAGAAGTGCCTCTACAAAAACGAAGACACAAAGTTTTTTTCGATCCCTGAAGGGACACAAAGTTGAATGCTGATTCTCAGAATAATAAAATTGAGTTCCGACTTTTCAGACGCATATTCCGTAGTAAGACAAACCTCCTTTATGAGAACACGCAGATTTTCTCTAATTAGAGTAGGTTCAATTCTTTTTAAAATCTTAAAATCTTAAAATCCGCTTTTTCCCCCTTGGGTTCTACACTAGTGGTACTAATATTAGCCGTAAAAGAAATTTTGAGGGTATAAGAATTGTATCGCATCACAACTCTGGTTTCTATTACGTGAAACGTAGTAAATTCAAAATGTACCAATGGTTTACTCCTGTTGATGAATATTTCAACGATTTTATAACTAACCTTGCTGAAAGCATCATTGAATATTTGGGAATATGCTGTCTCTTTTTCTGAAATTGGCAATCAGGTTCCACTTCAACATGCATACCTTTAAACTTTCTTTTACCATTATCAGAAGACTTGCTACTAACGAGCCGACAAACTTGACGAATATAGAAGTGACCTTAGTCTCATTCGTATTCATCCCTTGAGAAATCCTGAATCTCAAGGATCTCGCCAAATTTTCTTGCAGATTGTGCCTCAGTTGCTGATGACTCCTGTTTCCAGAATTTCTTCACGTTGCTGCACAGATTTGTTGCTCAATGATGAAGGCAAGATTCTCTCAGAATTCGATCAAGATCTTGTATAGAATTCTGACAGAAACCACGGAGAAGATCGGGTGTGTGGGTGTGGGTGTGAGTGCCAGTGAAGACAATACCTACACCCGCAATTGAACCAGGTTAGTTGATCAGTATGTATACTGGAGGTCTGGAGAGCAATACTCTATATATTCACTTGTTTCTATTCTGTTTAGAAAAGTTTGCAAGGGTTCTGCCAAAATATGGGAAAAAATTCTCAAATAAACCTAGGAAAACCTTGCAAAGATCCTGTTAGAAAAGTGGTACCATCCCTGAGGAAATCTAAACAAATGCGACAGAATGTAAATCGAAATTTCTTCAATTCGAAATCACTGAAATCCTGGCAAATTCCTGATCCAAAAATAGTATACAACTGGTCATGATCATTATAGGCTTTTGAAACTGCGTCGATGCCTGCTTTTTCCAGGATTTAGCCATTTTCTCCGGAAAAAGGCGCATTCATGAAAGGACCGAAATGGATTCGTTAAGGATGTGGCACGGAAACATAGAAGGTTTTCCCTAAGAGATTGCATATAACCGAAAACTCTTAGAATAATGCGAAACTTATAAATATTAAGATGAGCGTCCTGTATGTGAACTAGCTGATCTGTGTTTGTTCCTTCTATAATGTTCTGAAATTGTTTCTCAGAGTGAGTGGACTGCTTTCAAGTTATACAATAATAAAATAATTGAATACTTGTAATATCTCGTTATGATAGAACAAGTCGTACGACAATCTTAAAAGTTAAGTCAGTTCAAGGATAATACTCGCTCTAAAAGTTCCTTCTAGTCTAAATAACTTAAGACATTCTTCCGGATGCATAACAAAAGCTCTGCGGTTCGAATTTCAAGCAGGACCACTTTTTCGTCATTCTGCTGGCTTATATATTTCCTTGCGTTGGAACTCATTATGACTCAAATTTGGTGCTTACATATATGTCTGTCAGTTTTTATTGTATAGTAACAGATTTTTTTCAAAAACATTTATCGTTGAAGTCTCTATAAAGTCCTGCAGAAAAGACCAGTACAGATATAAAAGAACAAAATTATCATAATAATACCACGAGAATATATCAATAATGACTTTCAAAGTGAAGAGAACTAGTCCGTGTCTTTCATACTTTATTTTACTATTCTCTGTGTAAACTATCCGAAGTATCATTGTTTCAGAGTGCGTCTAGCTTCACATAGTATCATTTAGTGACATTTACACAAACGAAATCTTGCTCCAGAAAAAAAGACTAGTATAAATTGCTTGCATTTTTCACACGCTTGAAAATACGATGAAAAAAAGGAATATTTTCGAAAATTCATGAAAACTAACATTTATGTGCATTCACAAAGTACATCTTTCACAGGTGAACACAAATATTTGCTTAGTTTGTCCGTATGGTTTGACACTATGAAAATTCAAAGAGATATCGAGCGAAAAGCTAAGGAATTATTTATGCTTGGGCATCGTTATTTTCTAGCACTATGAGCGTGCTGTGAGGCATAACAAAATTGAACTGCTTTTCACTTATGAAGATGTTTCCGAAACCTGCCGGC